GCCGCCGCCGCCACTTCGTCGTCGCAGCAGCATTCCGCCGCAGAAGGTACATAGATCGCTCCAGCCACCGCCCGCGCGTCGTCGTCGACATCGCCTTCTTCGGGACATGCATCCCGGCGTGTATTGAACGGCAAACCGATTATTTGGCCTGGGATGGTAGGGGCCGGCGAGCTGGGGGGCGGCGAGATGAAGGCGATGGAGAACAGCATGTTTGGGAGGGGTGCATGTGGGAGATCAAGAGCAACCTGCTGGGGGTCGCCCCTCCGAGCGGGGCATTCTGTTTGGGCTCGTGGCGCGCCTTGCATCGCGCGACGACATCGAGTCTGATATAACAATGTGTGTTTCGTATTTAGTTTTTTTTTGTTTGCCGTTCTTTCTGGCAGCGCGTTCTACTATTGCACTGGTATTTTCTTCCTCGTTTGTTGCTGTTCTTATGTACATCCAGAATCATGGGGGGGGAAGTCATCTGTGACCATGATTCTAGAGGGCATAAATAAATAAAAAGGAAAGGCAATCGATTTGTTTTTGTTTTTCCATATGATGAACAGCTTGCTCTGCAAGGGGGCTGTCTGCACGTTTGGTTGCTGGCGTATTGATTTTCGCGGAGTGTTCTTGGATGAACTCTGGAAATACAATGGGAATGNGGGCTGCCTACATGTTTGTTGAGCTTTCTATCTTTTCTTGGACAGCAACAGTGGCACGTGTGCTTACTGTTTAGTTTGGTCCTCAAAGACTATACTAGAGAAAGGAGTTGGCAGGAGTGATTGTTGGGGCCTCTGTGCTTTCCAAATACTCGTTTCTGTTGCACAATAAGTTGTACTCGAGTAATATAGTTTTTGTTTGAGTTTTTGTGCCTACTCTTCGAAGCTGTTTTTCTCAGAATTGTCCGTTCTCATTCCGATGTTTTTCTGATACATCGCTGGCGCTTGTATGGTATATGCGGGTTTGTGGATTCAGATTTGTTTTTTTTGTTTGGTCTTGGTTTTTGGCTTGTTTCGGAGTTCTTTGGATTCGGTTTTTGCGATTGAAATTGCACCTGGAAGAATATTGGACGGCATGAAGGCTGCGCTGAAAATGTTCAAGAAGGATCTGGTGATGGAACAGGGTTATTGGTTTGAGTCCTTGCGGCCGTGGTGTGCAGGTCGCTACGGTTGTGCTACATGTTTTTGTTTTTTTTCCTTTTTTTCGTGTGGCATTTTTCTTGGTAGAAGGCTCTGTCTACGTTGTCCCCTTTGTATTTGGCGCGCCTTGCCATATACCATCGGTCAGGGGTACCCCCTCTATTTCTATAAAATGCTATGTCTTCGATGCTGTTGTCAATCGTCATTGGGGAATTGGTGTGTCATGGCAATTGATTGCCGCAACATTACGAAGAATGGAATGTTTCGTCTGTTTTCGATGTACGATTTGCGAAGTTTCGGGATTTGATTTCGTTCACAACAACGCACGTTGCGATTTTTGGTGTTGCTCTCAGTACCCAAATATCACAGGATGCGTTTATCAAGTAGAGGGTTGATCCTTTGACGTCTGGTGTACGGAGAAGGGGGGCGGTAACCAGACATGTATGGGTAGGGTATGCAAGTTGAAAATAAAAGGCATTGTTGGAAGCTGAACGGAGGTTTGTGTTCGAGGAATAATAGTCAACGAGGCAGGGGGGGGGCTGTCTTCTGGCACTCCATGACTCCAATGTGCCTCGCGCTGTCAACCACGCAGGCAGCGTGTGTANGCACTCCATGACTCCAATGTGCCTCGCGCTGTCAACCACGCAGGCAGCGCGTGTAGCGATGTCACATATGCTTCAAGGAATTTCGTTTCTGAGGTAGATATGGTGTACTGTGTTGCCGAGGTCTTC